CCAGGACAGGAACTCAGCCTTCAGCCGCAGCACCATCCTCTCATATGTTGGGCTAAGATCTGTTTGTTTGGTGTTTTGTTTTGTTTTGCTTTTTTTTTTTCCTCTGTGGAATTAGTCCAAATTGAGTGTCTGTCATGACAAACAAAAGAGCTCTGACTAATGCAGCGAAATCGTTATTCTTGTTCTGTAAACGCCTGGGCTCTGGAAGAAAGATTGGACTATTTGCTACTTTCATTTTAAGAAAATCATTAATTAATGCTCACACTGGAGTTTTCAAATATGTCCTTAAAAAATCTGTGAGATTGTACTACTGTCTTTTACCTCAGTATTTTATAATATCATGATAGTGGTGTTCTAAACTCAGGGGGACCTTTTTCTTTTTCTTTTCTTCTTCTTTTTTTTTTTTTTTTTTTGATCCATTCCATTTATGTATTTCAATCCCATGGCTCACAGTGCATTTATAATAAGTCCTGGTGATCTTAGAACTGACTATGTCACGAAGTATGATCCTATTCTTTCAGGAAACCTACTCTAAAAACAAGCCAGCTAAGAAGAAAGTCCCAAGGGATTATGCTGAGTGGGATAAGTACGTTTCACATTTCTTCACTTAAAACTTGTCTCTGAAACATTGTCTACTGTTAGATTCTACAATTTAAAATATTATAAACCTGAGAAATCAAGTGTACCAAGTTACGGTAGTAAAGTTACCATTTACCAAACACTTCCTACCCCCCCCCCTTCTTGTTTCTTTTGAGACAGGATCTCACTGTGTGACCCAGGCTGGCCTCAAACTCAGAAGTCCTCTGCCTCAGTCTCCCAGTTGCAATAATTACAAGCATGCACTACCACATCTGGCTCAGCTAAGCACTTTTTAAATTTCATTTTTTAATAATACCTTTTCTGCATCCTTTTGTTATAAAAACCAATCACAAAACTGGTTAGATTTAAGTCTGGTGTGGGTTTTGTTGTTGTTTGACTTTTTTTTTTTTTTTTTCCAAGACAGGGTTTCTCTGTGTCGCTTTGGAGCCTATCCTGGCACTTGCTCTGGAGCCCCGGTTGGC